CATTGAAGTCAGGCAAACATTGTTGTAGTATTTAAACTTCTTTTTTTAATTAAAAAAGGGAAAGTTCAAAAAAAATATGATTTGGGTTGTGCCGTAAGCCCGTAACATAACAGATCGAGTGGACTGAGATATGAACACATCATTACAGTGTTAGAACGAGTATCTCAAACATGCAGTTAAAAACCTAAAATTAGCAACGTGCCGTAGCAGATGGAGACGCATGCAACTCCAAAAAACAAGATCGGGGCCGCGCAACGTGTTGAGAATGGTCAGGATCTTAAACAAACAAAGATATGGCTCCAGCGTTACCTCGAGGGCACGCCCAAATTCCTAACGAGACCGGATGACCGGAGTATAAAGCACGCAGGTAGCAGCAGCATCCCATATCCAAAGCAAGAAGCAAGCCCCTCTGCCTTGTGATTTGTGAACGAAAGAGCACTGTAGCTGCCAACAATGGCCATCCCGGCTAAAGCCAGCAGCTCCTTCTCCATGGCCTGCCTCTTGGCCGCCATCTTCCTCTTCTCCTCGGCGCCACGGAGCCACGGCGGCAGCATCGCCATCTACTGGGGCCAGAACGGCAACGAGGGCACCCTGGCCGAGACCTGCAGCACCGGCAACTACGCCTTCGTCAACATCGCCTTCCTCTGCAGCTTCGGGTCGGCCCAGGAGACCCCGCAGCTCAACCTGGCGGGCCACTGCGACCCCTACTCCAACGCCTGCACCAACCTCACCGCCGACATCAACCTCTGCCAGTCCAAGGGCGTCAAGGTCATGCTCTCCATCGGCGGGGGCGCCGGCGGGTACACGCTCAACTCCGAGCAGGACGCGGCCGACCTGGCCAAGTACATCTGGGACAGCTTCCTCGGCGGGAGCTCACCCAAGCGGCCGCTCGGCGCCGCAGTACTCGACGGCGTCGACTTCGACATCGAGGGAGGGAACCCAGACTACTACGGCGCCCTGGCGGCGCACCTCAAGGCCTACGGCGGCAAGGGGGGCAGCAAGGAGGTGTACCTGTCGGCGGCGCCGCAGTGCCCGTTCCCGGACCAGTGGGTCGGCAAGGCGCTCCAGACCGGCCTCTTCGACTACGTGTGGGTGCAGTTCTACAACAACCCGCCGTGCCAGTACGTGCAGGGGGACACGGCCAACCTCATGGACTCGTGGAAGCAGTGGACGTCGGGGGTCCACGCCAAGTACATCTTCCTCGGGCTGCCGGCGGCGCCGGCGGCCGCAGGGAGCGGGTTCATACCGGCGGGGAGCCTGGAGTCGCAGGTGCTCCCGGCGCTCAAGGGCTCCAGCAAGTACGGAGGGGTGATGCTGTGGTCCAAGTTCTACGACGACCAGGACGGCTACAGCTCCGCCATTAAGAACGCCGTCTGATGATGATCGATCTCATTCCTTCACGGTCCGGGTTATGGGAGCCGACAGTGGTGTGTATATAGTTGTGGCGCATATGGTCTGGCAATTGGCGTAGTTAATTTATTTGTGCGCACACAGCAGGATTTATATCGAATAAAAGGATTATTTGTCACATCTACAGTGTTCTGCTGCTGGACTTGTGGAGTCACTGTGAGAATATATGTTAAATCATACGAGTATAATATAGAACTGAAGAACGCGCCAATCATGTTCAAATGCTACAAGACTGAATCAACATGTTGTTGAATGGTTAGGAGGACAGTGGTATCACAACCCACCAGTGTTTAAGTCGCGTTGCTCGCATTGAAAGGAGACGTTCCCATCGACTACAAGGAGCTTACGGTGACTTCAAAAAATCTCAAGATGATATGCCGGCTCAGTCTTTCGGAGGTGCTCCTAGGGGCAGGATATGCGTGTGCGCATTCATAGGTGTGTGTGTATGTGCGTATATATGAACACTTGCGTCTGTATTGTGTTAAAAAATTGATACAAGACTATATTTGTGACCAAGGCGCTCTCAATAAGTAATTTTACAATTATATATGCACAAATGCCCCATTTTATTATCTGGCACGTGGGCCCCTCATATATCAGGGACGGCCCGCCCTGCGTCGGAGGTGCCCTTTCTATCCAGTCCAAAGAACCAGAAACAAAATTGAGCTCGGAAGAGGCTAGCCAACTCCCCTCCAGAACGCTCCCCCGATTGCAGCTTCGCCGGCCGTCGGATCTGCCCCTCTGACGCGTTTGAGCCGTTGGATCTTCACAGCAGTAAAATCCAATTTTCACCTCACGGTCAATTTTCGCTGGTCAATGATGGGTGGGCTCGCGCCGTGTGCTTGTTGGCTGGGTTCGTCGTCCCCCCGTGTAAGAAGTTTTGGCCAATCTGTTGCGCGCGTTCCGCGTCCAATCCTACCCTCGCCTCGTCCCACTCCCACTCCCATTCTAGCCGCCAGACAAACCCTAGCCCCCTTGCCCAATGCCCTCCGATCCCCACAGCCTCCGCACGGCCTCGCTCCTCCTTCTCTTCCGCCGCAGCCTCTCCTTGCTCGCAGCCGCCTCCTTCCCACCTCCGCCCGAGCTCCGCCTTCCTCGCCCGCCTCCTCCTCCTTGCCATCGGCGGGAGCGGTGAGCATAGTGGCAGCGGCTGGACGCAATGAGCTTGCCTCCGGCGGCGCTAGGAACCTGCACGCAAAGGGCGACCCCATCGATCTGTCCCTGCAGGAGAGAGAAGATGAAGGGAGGATTGAAGGATAGGGGGAGGTAGGCGTGCTGGGGCGGGGTGGTCTCGCCTGCGCTCTTGGACGGCTCGGCTCCAACTCCCTCTTCCACCTCTCCGCTCCCCGACACTCAAATCTGGTAAATCTCCTCTTAGTTCATTGCGCTCTTGGACGATTACCCGATTAGTTATCAATACTAATCCTCATGCTACCTTGGAACTGTATGGTTGGCTGATTTATCTTGTTTGACCCCTGTTCCAGGCTCTTCTACACATATCCGTAGCTATGGAAAGAAAGCTTGTAGTGGAGTGGCTTCCTTTGTATGATCTTGGAAGATGGTCTGTATTGTTGACTATGGACTTCAGACCGTTTCTATTTTCCTCTGTGAACCTACCACTGATGTTTTGGAGGTGCTTGCTTTGTGTAGATGACCTCTGAAGCCCATTAGAAAGCATGGCAACGGCTAAAGGTTAGCGCATTTCGAGAAGCCAACAGATCGCCGCCTACTTCCTTAGGCTGACAATCACCTGCAGGATAAAGTGCGATGTTTTGCCCGAGGGGTTGGAGCAGGA